CTTGTCCCCACATGGCCACTCTCTCTCTCTTTGGAGAGATTTTTGCTATAGGGCACGTGTGCTCACCAAAGAGACTGAGAGACAGAAAGCAAGAAATCACTCCCTAGGGGGGTGGCCACACCACAATCCCTTCTCCTCCATTCTTCTCTTGGGATCTTGGGCACGCACACGCACCCAGTGTGAGTTTTAAGTCACTAGATCCGGGACTCAAACTGCGGTAGACTACGTGCGAGTCCAGCGACATAACCATTATGCTCTCTGTTGGTCCCGTGGCCGCTGTCTCTTACACAGTCTCTCCAGCAAGCTAACAGGACTTCTTTTTTTTTTTTTTTGGAGAGGTTTTTGCTACAGGGCGTGTGTGCTCGCCAGACAGACAGAGAGAGATAGAGAGACAGAAAGCGAGAAATCACCCCCAGGGGGGATGGTCACGCTGCAATCCCTTCTCCTCCATTCTCCTCTCGGGATCTTAGGCATGCACGCACACGTGCCCAGCGTGAGTTTAAGCCACTGGGTCCGGGACGCGAACTGCGGTCGACTACGTGGGAGTCCAGCGACATAGCCATTACGCTAACTGCTGGTTCCCCCTAACAGGACTTCTTTACACGGGAGTCTGGGACCCAGAAAGGAGAAAGGAGAAGTGCCACCTCGTAAGGCCTGGTCTCGAAAGTCCCGGGATGTCAGTTCTGCCACACTCCATTGTCAAGTCACAAGAATTTCCCCAAATTCAAGGGAAGGAGAAAGGAACTCCGCTCTTACTGAGAGAAGTGGCACATGCCCACAGGATGTGTGGAGTTGCCGGGGGCAGTCGGCCATTCTCCAACACCCACTTCTCTTTTTTTTCACATCACTACTTGGCACTGTATTATTTTTGTTTACTATCTACATCCTTCAAAAGACAGAAGCTCTATGGCAGCCAGGGCCATCTGTGCCTGGTTTACCACTGTGCCGGTGCCTGGAACTGCGCCTGGCGCGGAGAAGGCACCGGGATGTGAGTGAAGAGATACACGAAGCAGTCCTGGGGGCTAAGCTGAGGTTTAACCGGGGCTATGGGGCGTGGGGAGCAGGTGGAGACCACAGTGTGTAGGTATTCCGGGGGAGATGCTTTAGGATTTCTAAGACACACAGAGAGAAAGCACTCAGGGGGAGGCCAGCAGATAGTTCTGTCTCCCTCTCTCTTTCCAGCAAGCACACGTGCCCGAACAGCGAAACTCTCTCTCTCTCTAAAAAAGAAAAAATGAACAGAGGGATTCAGGGAATGGGCAGGAAAGAACAGGGGGATTCGGAGTGGGCAGGAAAAACTGAAGGAAGAAGAAAGGTGGAGGACTGGGAGCGTCCTGAGTCCAGGGGCTGTTTTTAATGAGACAGAGGTTTTCTGTGGCCTCGTCACATGCTGACCCTCCTGCCCCAGCTTCCCAGCTACCCAGAACCCCAGGCATGGACCACTGACCCCAGCCGGCCCAGAAACTGAACCAAGACCTCGCTCACAGCCGCAGCCATCGGGCAGTGGTGTCCCGTCACGCACGCCACTGTAGCCGTGCCCAGGGTCTGGCACACAGCGAGTCTGGGCGCATGCGCTGAGTGAGTGAACTTTCTCCAGAAATCTGCTGCTGACCCTCCTTTCCCTCCCCCATGCTGGGTCAGGCGCCCTCTTGGCTCCCACACCTCTGAGCTGCTGCACCCCCCTTAGCCCCTGGAGGACTCCCTGGGGACCAGTCTGTGTTCCACTGGACTCAGTCCTGTAGGGCAGGGGTGAGGCTGTCCCAGGCATCCTCATGTCCCAAAGATCAGCCAGCAGGCCTTGGCCGCCACTTCCTCCCTGAGGGCAGAGTTGTCTCTGTCACTGCCATGTCCCCGTCCGGCCGGACACAGAGTGGACATGCAAGGAAACACCTTTGCTGACTCTCAGATGCACGTTTTCCTTTTTTGTCACATTCTTAACAGTTCTGAAATCAGGAGGAGTCACTGTTGATGGTGCCTTACAATTGCCGTCAGCCAGCAAGCCATTGTGACGCAGCTGTCAGTGCCTGGATGTGATAATGGGGTTGCTTTTAATAGCATCATCCCGGCTCCTGATGAGGCCGACAGCGACAGCGGACTGGGAAAGGCAGGGGCGCCGAGCACCCCGGCAAACACAGCTCCAAGAGCCAGACTCTGTGTCATGTTCAGAATCCCTTGGCCCATTTATTTCTCTTGTGTTTTCCTGTAAACGCACATACACCGGAGTGACGCGTGATAAAAATCTGTGTTTTCTAAATAAGTTTACGAAGAGCTCTTAGAGTGCCTGTAAAATACAAACTGCAAGTGATAAGGAAAATCCTGCTATGGTTTTTATACTTTTATTGGCAGCAACTTTTTTTTTGTTAGTGGGATGGGAAAGAATGTGTCTGAGGACCAGCGGCACCTCGGATTTGATTACGCACAGAGCCCGTTGAATGAATGGGCCAATGGTGTTCATCTCATTTGTCTCCGTCTTTCTATTTCATTCTCAGCTCCTGGGTTGCACGTCTGCCTTGAGAAACAGGCGAGGCAACAGAATTCCAGTTCTCGTTAAATGAACTACTCCATCTGACGTGCTTGAAACCAGTGCCTTGTATCCTTGGTGTGTTCATTACACAGTGTGTGCAGGCTTTGAAAAACCATCCCATACCCTGCAAGGATGTACTATGACTATATGTAAATTAGAAATCACAATTAAAAAATAAAGTCAAAAACACGGGGAGGGAACAGCGCTGAGCACATGGCAGATACCCAGGAGGGTGCGCGACTGTAAGGATCAACTCTGCCCGTGTGTGACCATGCCGCACCCCCGCCTGTGGGCTCTATCGGGCAGGCAATCGTACTGTACATCTCTGAACCAGTGCAGGGTCTGGTCTAGGGTCAGGACTAAATAAACATTTGTGGAATGACCAAATAACTGAGTGAATTACTGGATGAAAGTTTTCTCTCAACTCAGAGTCTTTTTTTAAAGAGATTTTTTTGCTATAGGGCATGTGTGCTCACCAGAGAGACAGAGAGAGACAAAGAAACAGAAAGTGAGAATTCACTCCCCCTCCCCACCCCCCCCCCCAAGGGGACCGGCCACACCACAATCCCTTCTCTTCTGAATCTCCTCTCAGGATTTTGGGCACGCACACACAAGCCCCAGTCATGACTTTTAAGTCATCAGGTTTGGGACTCAAACTGTGATTGACTACATGAGAGTCAAGCAATGTAGCCATTGTACCATCTGCGGGTCTCCAGAATCTTTTATTTTTTTAACTTAATTTTTTTTTGTTATTTAGTTTTATTTATTATTATTATTATTATTATTATTAATTTGCTATAGGGCATGTGTGCTCACCAGAGAGAGAGAGAGAAAGGGAAAGTGAGAAAGCAAGCCACCAGGCCCAGGAGTTGAACCATACTTGGCCATGTGGAAATCCAGCACCTTAACCACCATGCCACTTGTTGGCATCCCCCAACCCAGGGGGAGGCTTTAAGAAGGCTGGTTTTGGGACCAGCAGTTGGCGTTATGGCTATGTCACTAGACTCCTATGTGGTTGACTGTGGTACGAGTCCCCGACCCTGTGGCTCAAACTCATACCAGGCGCGTGTGCGTGCGTGCCCAAGATCCCAAGAGGAGAATGGAGGAGAAGGGATTGCAGCGTGGCCATCCCCCTGCGGGGGGTGATTTCTCATTTTCTGTCTCTCTGTCTCTCTCTGTCTGTCTGGCAAGCGCACACTCCCTATAGCAGAAACCTCTCCAAAAAAAAAAAAAAGAGGCTGTTTTTAGCCTGATACAACCCCTGTCAAGCCATCTGGTTCATTCCTATTCTTTCAGATCTCAGCTCAAATACTCCCTCCTCCAGGAAGCCCTCCCTGACCCCAAAGTTGCATCAGACTACCCCTTTGCTGCTCCCACAGCCCTCTGGGCCCCCCAACCCAGTCCTGCCCACTCCAGATGGTTGCTTTCTTGGGATGGCTCTGACTAAATTTCCCCTATGGGCGGAAGAGCCCAGGGTTGTCTGGTCATTGCCACCTTCCCAGCGCCGAGCCCAGAATGGGGCCTAAAGAGGGCTGGCTTGGTTTGATGAATGAAGAGGGCAGCGGAGGCATGGCGATGGCTAGGGTGCAGCCCCTCTGGCTGGCACTCTCCGAGCAGGGCAGCCCGTACCAGGCGCATCAGGTACCTGGCAGCTGCCTAGGCCCAGACACCCCAAACTGCACCATCTCCCTGTCCCCAGATCTGGAGCCCCAGAGGGCAGTGCTTGGGTTGGATACACTTCTGCGGCCCTGGCTCCGCTGGAAGAGAATGACTGAGCTCACAAACGGAGGCGGTGGGTTTGGGGGGTGCCATCCATGTGTGTCTGCAGCCTGCGTTTGCAAGGCTTCTGTGACCATGTCTTTGGTTTTGCTTGTCTTTAATGAGTCTGCGTCTCTCCCTTAGAGCAGGTGTGCATGTCGAGAATTTGGGGAAGGACCCTGGCGTACGTGCGGGTCTGTGTGTTTGGTGTGTTTGGTGTGCGGCAGTGTCTGGGAATCTTTGTTAGTCTCTTAGTCTCTGTGCCTCTGGGTCTGTCACTGAGGATGTGAACAAACCTGTGGCTGCCGGTCTGTGTTTCCCTCTCAGCGCAGCTTAAGAATTCTGGACTACGTAGGCAGCCACCTCTCTGCGTGGCCCTGAGCTGGTCGGTCCCCTTTCTGGCCTCTATCTCCTCCGCTGTTTTTAGACACACCTCTTCAAAACTGACCTGCAGGTGGGACCAGCAGTTAGCGTAATGGCTATGTCGCTGGACTCCCACGTAGTCGACCGTGGTTCGCGTCCCAGACCCGGTGGCTTAAAACTCACGCTGGGCGCATGTGCGTGCGTGCCCAAAATCCCGAGAGGAGAATGGAGGAGAAGGGATTGCGGCGTGACCATCCTCCCTGGGGGGTGATTTCTCGCTTTCTGTCTCTCTGTCTGGCGAGCGCACGCGCCCTATAGCAAGAACCTCTCCAAATAAAAAAAAAAAAAAACTGACCTGCAGGTGGTGAGCACACGCCTAGGCATAGCATGGCCTGAGGTTCATTCCAGAAGGTAGGATGGGGAAAAGCCTGGTGTGGGCAGAGGGGAAGCCCGGAGAAGAACGTGAAGGGGATGCAGGGCTGGAGGTCAGGGTCAAGCGGGGCTCCAGCTCAGAGGCCATGGGCAGGGGTGAATGTGAATGGGAAGAAGAGGCTCAGGGAGGCTCCCAGATAAGGAAGGGATCTGGGGAGAGGGCGTCACACAGGGCACCAGGAGCAGTCAGGGGGGAAGCCGCAGGGCTGGACATCAGAGTCAAGGGGAGCAGGTGTCCCCAGAGGACAGGCTTTGGGGTGTCTTGGTCTCTCCAGCCCTTTGGCTCCTTCCCCGTGTGGCGCGGTGAGCAGGCCCTGTGACGCCAGGCTGTGAATTTGGGACTTTGTCCTAGGCATGAAGAAGACCACGCGGGGTTTCAAACACGTCTCAGTGTTCAGAAACTCTCTCTGAGACCAGTGTGGGTGACTGAGGGCCCTTTATGACTAGTGGTGGCCCAGTGCCCCTGCCCCTCAGGGCCCCGCCCCTGACCTCATGGCCGCATTATTGCACCAGGGCTGGCTGACCAATAAGGTGCTGCTTGTTGTTACAATGGGCCCTAGCAACAGGCCCTGCCCTTGGGCTAACTGGGAGGAGACCCCACCAGGGGGAGAGTGTGAGGGGAGAGGGAGAGCCTGCAGGGCAGGTGAGTGGGAGGCAGGGGCTCTGGTCCTGTCCCAAGCTTAGCCCCAATTCCACCACCGTACCCACTGACTCCTCGGACCCTCCCCAGGCTCCCAACCTGCCCTTCACAGGCCATACCCTGAGATGGGTTAGGGAGAGGGCACAGGACAGAGTGGGGACAGGTTGAGGGAAGTGCCCTGCCCAGGACAGAAGGATCTGCTGTGGTGGGAACAGGACACATTTCTGCAAGGACTGGGGAAGGGTGGAGGGGACTGGACCGGAGACAGGCACGGGGCTGAAGCGAGCAGCTCTCCAGAGGTCAGAGGGAGCCCCGGGGCTGAGCTTGAGGCCCGGCAGGCCTTGGGGTGGGGGAGGCAGCACTGTCTTTTCTAAGGCTCGGTCCCTATCCCTGTCGGTTGGGGGACAGTGATCCCTGAGCACCTCTCCCAGGCCCTCTTGGCGAGGGAGGGCACCTTAGAGTGAGTGGGGGCACAGGGATGCTCCTGGGTGAGGAGGGACCATTAGAACGGCTCCGGGAATCAGGAGGGGAAGAGTCCGGGAGGCAAGGGCTCAGCCCGGTGAGGCCAGCCATGGTGTGGCTGGGGCTGGCCGGAAAGGACTCCTCAGGCCCAGTTTCTCCCTCAGGCCCAACCCAAGAACAGCTTCAAAGCTGGCCTAGGGTGAGAGGCTTGAGGTTCCGGGTCAGCACAACAGCCCCACAAGGTGGGCAGGGTAGCCCGTGGTACAGGAGACAGTGGGGCTCCGAGAGGGCAGGGGTGGCTCCGAGTCACGCGTGAGGATGAACAAGGGCGAGCGGGTGCCGACGGTACAGCACCTGCTGCGTGCAGACACTGCTCTAACAATGACTCGGCCGGGTCTCAGCAGTCAGGGGCTGCCACAGTTACAGCTGTTACCCTCACCTCAGTGTGCGGTGTGCGTGGCGGAACCTGGGTGCGAGCTGAGCAGGGCCACCCCAGGCTCAGGGTCCCCTTTGCCACTAGGTCCTGCTGCCCTCCCAGCAGCGGAGGTAGCAGCAGCGCTCTGTCAGGGCCAGAGGTGGGCTCCACGCCTGTCCCGTGCCAGCCCCGCTACGTAAGGTAGGGCCCAGAACAAAGTGACAACACAGGATCCCTGTGCCACTACTCTAAGGAATGTCAGTGTCATCGTCAGAGCGTTAAATCAAGCACTGGACCCTTCTAACCACAGGGCTCGCACTACAGCAGGCCCCATCCTAGGGCACCCGCAGACCCTGACTGTGCCCGAGGAGCACGCCCAGCCATCATGTCTGTCACCCAGGGAAGCAAACAGGCTCAGGGAGGGACTGCATTCCGCCAAGGGCACACAGAAAGTCAGTGGCAGAGAAGGGATGTAAAGCTGGGCCCGCGAGACACAAAGCACCCTAACAGGTGCCAAAAACACGCCCCTGGAGGAAGAGAGAGCTGTGGGTCCCAGAGGGACTTCCCTCACCTCTGCAGAGTCTCTCCCTGCCCCATGCCTCCGTCCAGGAGGTGTGACCGGCTCCTTTCTCCTCCACAGACGCTGCGGATCGCGCGTCCTGTGACTCTCCCCGTCCCCCGCCAGCTCTGAACCACTGGCCACCATGGCTACTTCGAAGTTGCCGGCGGGGCCAGGGGAGGAGACCACCATCCTCATGGCCAAGGAAGAGCTGGAGGCCCTGCGCACGGCCTTCGAGTCGGGCGACCTCCCGCAGGCCGCCTCTCGCCTCCGGGAGCTGCTGGCCTCCTCGGAGAGCACCCACCTGGAGGTGGGCGTCACCGGCGAGTCTGGGGCTGGCAAGTCATCCCTCATCAATGCCCTGCGTGGTCTGGGGGCCGAGGACCCTGGTGCGGCCCTCACGGGCGTCGTGGAGACCACAATGCAACCCTCGCCCTACCCGCATCCGCAGTTTCCTGACGTGACCCTGTGGGACCTGCCAGGGGCCGGCTGCCCGGGCTGCCCAGCTGACAAGTACCTGAAGCAGGTGGACTTCGGCCGCTATGACTTCTTCCTGCTGGTGTCCCCCCGCCGCTGCGGGGCCGTGGAGACCCGCCTGGCCTCGGAGATCCTGCGTCAGGGCAAGAAGTTCTACTTCGTGCGCACCAAGGTGGATGAGGACCTGGCGGCCACACGAACCCAGCGGCCCTCGGGCTTCAGCGAGTCGGCCGTCCTGCAGGAGATCCGTGACCACTGCGCCGAGCGGCTGCGGGGAGCCGGCGTGGCCGACCCCCGCATCTTCCTGGTGTCCAACCTGTCGCCGGTCCGCTACGACTTTCCAGTGCTCATGTCCACCTGGGAGCACGACCTGCCCGCCCACCGGCGCCACGCTGGCCTGCTGTCGCTGCCTGACATCTCGCTGGAGGCCCTGCAGAAGAAGAAGGACATGCTCCAGGAGCAAGTGCTCAAGACGGCCTTGGTGTCGGGCGTCATCCAGGCCCTGCCCGTGCCGGGACTGGCGGCTGCCTACGACGATGCCCTGCTGGTGCGCTCGCTGCGCGGCTACCATCGCAGCTTTGGCCTGGACGACGACTCGCTGGCCAAGTTGGCCGAGCAGGTGGGCAAGCAGGCAGGGGACCTGCGCTCCGTCATCCGCTCCCCACTGGCCAACGAGGTCTCCCCGGAGACCGTCCTGCGGCTCTACTCACAGTCGTCCGATGGCGCCATGCGGGTGGCCCGTGCCTTTGAGAAGGGCATCCCCGTGTTCGGTACGCTGGTGGCTGGTGGCATCAGCTTCGGCACTGTCTACACCATGCTCCAGGGTTGCCTCAATGACATGGCCGAAGATGCCCAGCGGGTCCGCATCAAGGCCCTGGAGGAGGACGAGCCCCAGTCGGAGGTCAGCTTGGAGGCGGCTGGTGACAATGGTGTGGAAAAGCGGGGATCCGGGGAGGGAGGTGGCGAGGAAGCCCCCCTCTCTACCCGTCGAAAGCTCGGCCTCCTTCTTAAGTACGTTCTCGACAGCTGGAAGAAGCGCGATTTGTCAGAAGAGAAATAAAGTGCGGCCTCCACCTCCTGTCTCACCCACAAACCAAGCCTTAACAAAACCAAACAAACAAGGCCGATGTGGTGAAAATGTGAGCCACAGTTGCTGAGGGGCAGGGGTGGGGGGATCTGGAGGGAGTCTTGGCCGGGCAGCGGAGAGGGGGCATTGCGAGGGGGTGGGGTGGTAGGCCCAAGTCTAAGGATAAACTAAAAGGGGACAGGAATTGACCGTGGGGAGACAGGTTCATGGTATAAATGGCGGGCCCAGAGCTCCTTGTCTTTCCCTGGTCCCCAAGTGGCCAAGGGGGATCTGTGGGGCGGCAGGACAGCCGGGTAGTCTCTAGGAGGCAATTGTCAACCTCTGTGGGTGGCCGAATGGTGGCCGGTCCTGCTACAACACTTCTAGTTTTCATCTCGTCTCCCTTTCTGAGAAGCCCAGGATCCCAACGGCCACCTCTGGAGAACAGCCAGTGGGTACTTGGGTTAGCACAAGAGGACCCAGCAACTGGGCTAGGCAGGTGGGAGAGAGCTGGCATCCTGGGGAGGCGGGGGGAGGGCAGATGGCCATGGCGCTCTTTGGGTGGAGCTCGAGGAAGACAAATGAGGGTGGCATGGTAAGAGAGTGAGCGCGTGGTTTCCACAAGCATCAAAAAAAAAAAAAAAAAAAAAAGGCGGGGGAGACAATAGAGTTTTATGTTAAAAAAAGGCGGGGCCAGCAGATGGCTTAATGGTTATGTTGCTGGACTTCCACAGAGTTGACCATGGTTCGAGTCCTGGACTTGGTGGCTTAAAACTCATGCCAGGTGTGTGTGTGTGTGCGTGCCCAAAATCCCAGGAGGAGAACCAAGAAGGGATTGCAGCATGGCTATCCCCTCTTGGGGGCGATTTCTCAGTTTCTGTCTGTCTCTCTCTGTTTCTCTGGTGAGCACATACACCCTATAGCAAAAATCTCTCAAAAATAAAATGTATAAAAATAAGAAAAAAGAGAGGAGGCAGAGGGCATGACTCCATGGCCTAGAATGAGTCTCTCTGGAAAGGCGGCAGGTCCATCTCTGAGAACGTGTGGCAGTTAGAAGCCTGCCGTCCCTGTGACTGGGAGGAATCAGGGTAGGTCCCATGCCGTGGGTCTAAGCCTGACTCGTGTGCGAGGTCCTGGCTTACCTGCCTCTGCATGGCTGTGTGGGTGTGCACGTGTGAATACCGGGATTGTGCTGAAAGTCAGGGGTCTGCGAGTGCAAGTGACTGAGGGACGGACAGCTCCTGACAGCTGCACATGACTGAATGACAGAGGGTCTGCAACACCATGAGGAGGGCATCGGGGCGTCTGGCCTTCGCCCAAGTGTCTCTGGGAGACCGAGCTCCAAAGCACTGACTAGGTGCCTTGTTCTGTGGTTGGCTGTTGGGCAGGAGTGGAGGGAGGTAGGGAGTAGATGCAAAAGTGCGTGGGACATCCTCGTAGCTGCTCCAGCCTGAACTCTTGCCTGCTGAGTCAAGGGTCACATGTGTTTAAAAAACTAAAGAACTGCCAAGTTGGGGTGGGGAGGGAGTTAGGCAGGGCAGGGGTGCCCCAAGGGCTTCTGTGGACTCAGGGGACTTGGGGAGGGTTGGATTTAGGTGCAGGGAAGAGGTGGGTTTCCAGGTTGGAGTCCTGGTACAGGTGAAGGGACGGAGGCCAGCACTGGGAGTCAGTGACCCGCCCAGTGTGGTAACTAAGAAAGTGCCTGAGGCAGAGGAGCTGCAAGGGGTGAAGGGACTGCAGGAGGGAAGGGCCCAGAAAGGTTTGGGGGTGGAGAGGAACTCTACCTCCTGAGCTCAGCCCCTGGGTCTGCTATCTTGGCTGTGCCAGCTGAGAGCTCAGATCCATGGCTCAAAGGACTTGGAGGGCAGGAGATGGGTGGTTTGGGAATAACTGGCCAGTGACTCGGGGTCGTGGTCCTGGGTGGACGAGGGAGGTTCACCTTCCAGTTACAGCAGCCCCAGGGAGCAATACACAAGCTGGGCCTCCTTCGAGTGCCCTGCAAGCCTGGGTGGAGTTCAGGGAAGGTGGCAGCTCTCTCCTTCTTGGAGAAATACTAACAGAGTGGAGCTGAGCAGGAAGGCTGGGCCCCGGATCCAGCCTGGGTAGGTACCTCTTGGAAAAACCTCCCAAAGCCCATGACGTTCACAAGGCAGCTCTGGAGGCCGTGTACAGGCTGGTGGCAGAGCAGGGGATGTGCTAGGTGCAAGGTCATTGGCCTTACTTCTGTGTGCTCACCTCTGCTCCCTGCAGAATTTCCCAGTTCTGGTGATTGAAGGTCTCAAATTACCCAACTCTAGGAAACAGTTTCAGGCTAAGAGGGTCCACTTTTACCTGGAGATTGAGGGAGTGCCAATTCCCTTTGCCAAAGGGCTCTGTGTTTTGTAAAAGGACTTCTTCCTGGAAGGCCTCTCTAGTGGCTCTGCCTAGACTTCTTGGGGTTTGCATGGGCATTTTTGTACCAAAGGGGGAATAGGGAGTCATGGTAGGGAAATCCCAGACCCCAAGATACACGAGACAGATGGTCCCTTCCAAATCCAGGCTCCAAACCAGCCCGCATCCCTGTACCCTGTGGACTCTCAGCCATCATCCTAAGCACAGGGCTGCCTGGCTGCACAGGCCAGGATGGGATGGTCAGGAATGAAGAGTGGGTGCGCTCACCACTGGTCTCCATCACCCCCTCAAACAACTAGACCCTGTACCCTGTCCTTTCTGCCTCCATCTGTCCCTTTCTCATGCCCCAACCTGACCCTCTGGCCCCTGGCCCATTCCAGCTCAGGCCTCTCCACCCAGTTCCTGCCCCAGCCTCCTGCTTCGACTCCCAGGCTCATCTCACTCTTTAAAAGAGAAGGATCTTCCTAATGTCCACAGCTTACCCCTCCCTTCCCCTCCCTACCCTGCCCTTCCCCGGGTCCTCAACGACCAAGTCATGCAGCCTGGCATTCCAGGCCCTTTCGATGCCAGCCTCTGCCTGAACCTCAGCAGCAACCTCCTGAGTCTTCCAGCTCTCCATTTCACAGGTGAGGAAACGGACACCTCCAGCCTGCCCCACTCCTTGCAGAAGGGGCGCTAGGCTGCAGCAGGGACGTGACCTATCTGGTGTCACCCAGCAAGCTGGGACTAGATGTGGTTGTGCAATCCCAGGATGTCTGTGACAGCTGTCCCCGGCCATCCAGTGAGGACACCAAGGCCCAGGGGCGGACAGGGCTTGCCTAGGTGTGCACTGAAATTCCTGAGCAGATGCAGGTACTCAGAAACCAGGTGCAAGGGTGGACAGTTCTCCAGATCCGCTGGTCTCTTTTCCTTCCAGCCTGGGACTGTAGCACCCAGAGGTCTTGGCACACAGCAGGCACTCACCTGTGCAGTAACTGCTGTTTCAAAAGGCAGAAGGGTCCGAGAGAGCTGGTGCATGTCCTGGATCTGGGGCAGGATGAAAGAGTTTAAAATGAGGACTAGGATCAGCAGTTGACATAATGACTATGTTGTAGCACTACCATGGAGTCGACCGTGGTTCAAATCCCGGACCCGGTGGCTTAAACTCACGTTGGACACATCTGCGTGCGTGCCCAAGATCCCGAGAGGAGAATGGAGGAGAAGGGATTGTGGCATGGCCATCCCCCCTGGGGGGTGATTTCTCACTTTCTGTCTCTGTGTCTTTCTGGCGAGGGCACGTGCCCTATAACAAAAAACTCTAAAAAAATAAAAATAAAAGGAGGACCTAATGAAATTATACATGGTTACAGTGGTGGCTGGCCCAGAGTAAATGCTAGCTACCACCATCAGCACGAAGGCTCTAGCGCATAACTGCTGGCCTGTAGGATCACAGGGCCTCGTGCACAGTAAACAGTTTGAACCATAGGAGCAGAAGATGTTGGTCCCATTCCCAGCACCCCATGGTGTTGGTCAAGTGAACCGTCCTCTCAGTGCCCAGTGTGGGTAGTAAGAGAATCTCTTTTCCACGCTGTTATGAGTCAGGAGTCCCTGGTAGTGATTAACTAAAATAAAGCATTTACCCTGGAATGCTGGTTATACTCTCAACATTATTACTGATGATGCCTTAAATATTGGGTCATCAGAAAGTCACGACATATTTTTACATAGAAAAATGTCATGATTTGGGGACCAGCAGGTGGTGTGGCGGTTAAGGCACTGGACACTCCCACATGGCCAACCATGGTTCAAGTCCCAGACCTGGTGGCTTGCACTCTCACTTTCTCTTTCTACGTGATTAAATGAATGAATAAATGAAATTAAATAATTCTTAAAAAAAAAAAGTCATGATTTTTCCAATGACTCAATTATTTGGGGATTATTATGATTTCTATTGTTATGGTTTCTTTTTTTTTTTATTTTGAGAGGTTTTTGCTATAGGGTGCGTGCACTCGCCAGACAGACAGAGACAGCAAGTGAGATATCACCTCCCAGGGCGGATGGCCACGCCGCAATCCCTTCTTCTCCATTCTCTTGGGATCTTGGGCACACATGCACACGTGCCCAGCGTGAATTTAAGCCACCGGGTCCGGGACTTGAACCGTGGTCGACTACGTGGGAGTCCAGTGACATAGCCATTATGCTAACGGCTGGTACCTGTTATGATTTCTTTTTAATTCGGTCTTAAAGTCTCTTGGGAGTGCCCATTAGCCTAGATAGCCACTCTCTAGGAAATCTGTCAGCTGTGGTGTCAGATGAGGGACAAAAGGTGAAACCAAAGTGCATTAAAATAAGAAATTCATTACTCACAGGACCCAGGGAGGTTAGGGGTGACAACAGGATGTCGAGAAGTCCAGAGGCAGTAGTCTTGATTAGCAGGTAGGGAAGCGTAAGAGAGAACAGGTGAGAGAGCAGGGAGTGAGGGAGGGGTCCTGTGAGTCTCTAGGTCTACAGACATTATCACTTGGGCTTTCCTGTGGGTGTTGTGGATTGGTTACTGAAAGAAAATATACTAAGGCCAGTCCATGACCTAACTTAAGGGAGCTGGGCCCCCTATGGCCAACCGTGCAGTTCGCATTCCAGCCCTGGTGGCTTGAAAAACACACCAGGCACGTGAGCGTGTGCCAAATCCTGACAGGATGGAGAAATGAGAGGGGATTGTGGTGTGACTGTGCCCCATTGAGGTGCTTTCTCCCCCTCCGTTTTTAAAGTGCATGTGCCTTCTGGAAAATAAAAAGAAAAAAGAAAAAACACACCCAAAAAGGGAACTGTTTACACGACCGGCATTGACCATCAGGTTTTATCATGGTCAGCCTTTGTGGCATGTATTGGGTTTTTGGTTGGTGAGATGAGAAACAGGTTGTACCTCAAATAACCACAAGGGGAAGGCAGTTTTAACTAGGCCAAGATGTAAGGTACAGCTGGGTTTCAAACAACCTACGTCAGGCTTTAAGAAGGGTGCCCAGACAGCCACCACATCAATTCACAGGTGTGTAGAGGGATCTAGAGAAAAAGAGGGCTACTTGGAGTGAAAATGTTCCCTTACCTTACTGAACTGGTTACCCAGTTCTGAACACGGAGAACTAGGGGTCAGGCAGCCCATGGCAAGCAAAGCCCTGCCAAAACTGTCAGTTCAAGATGCCGACGCTGGGAATCAGCAGTTAGCGTAATGGCTATGTCGCTGGACTCCCACGTAGTCGACCGCGGTTCGCGTCCCGGACCCGGTGGCTTAAAACTCAACGCTGGGCGCTTGTGTGTGCGTGCCCAAGATCCCGAGAGGAGAGTGGAGGAGAAGGGATTGCGGCGTGACCATCCCCCCTGGGGGGTGATTTCTCGCTTTCTGTCTCTATGTCTCTCTATCTGTCTGGCGAGCGCACGCGCCCTACAGTGAAAAACCTCTCCAAAAAAAAAAAAAAGATGCCGACGCTGTGGCTGGGGGTGGGGCTCTGGAGGCCTTCAAGGCAGGAATGTGCCAGCAGGAGCTGCCAAGTTGCTGGCCACCTTTCACTCACCGGGGAATGTCAGGCTGGACACGGGCATTACCAGGGTGGGGAACAAGCTCAGTAAGTTGGCATTTGGCAACACCGCCCTGGGGCCGGGAGATGTAGACCCCGCCCAGTCAGCAATGGGTGTGAAGGCAATCAATGTGGCTCCCACATCATACCTGTGCCCCAAGTATCCAGCGTCCCCGTCTGGGACCTGCGGGACATGACAAACTCCTCGAGTGGGTGCTGCTGGACTGTTCCAACTTCACTGCTTCCGAGCATTTCAGCACCCGCCGTGCGCAGCTGGCCAGTGAGAGCCTGCAGCACGGCGGGCGC